CTGAGCCTAAGAGTCTTTTCTAGCCTCAAACCTTGTGCAACAGAATAAAAATTCTGCATCTTGTTTATATGTTTATTACAAAAATAGTCATTGAAATTCTTTCATGAGGGGCTTTGATAATAATACCCATACTTGTCAACTTATGCAAATGTAATTTGGTAATGGAATATGCCGTTTAATGTTTGTGCGCCTTTTTTTTTTTCTGAAGTAAGATTGGGACATAAGCAAAATGAAGTTGGTAAAGCTAGCAGGACTATTATTTGTTTATGGGAACCGATTTACACACAACATTTTTGTTTTGGTAGGGAGCATAGATAGCCCTAGTGAAAAGAAAATACAAAGGATGCCCATGTTAATTCACAAAGAATACTTTCTCTCTCAAATCACGGAACATTTTGACTAACAATTACGAATATGTAGTATGTACCCTCTACGAGAAATGGTATTTACCCTGTTCACTTTATGTTGTTCTGAAAGAATGAAATTATTATTCGAGGAAAAGTGATATAAAATTAGGCATCCATGTTTTTAATACTTCAAGTGTCTTGGTTGCTCAAGTCCCCCCTGCCTCAGGAAAGTTACTTGTGGACCTTGGAGAAGCGCATAATCATAGTTGTTATTTTGGAAATTCCTTTCCTCACAAAGATATTGGTAAATCTAATTCTGCAACAGCATTTGTTGGCATTCCTAGTTTACTGTTGATGCTTTTGTCTTTTGCTTTTTGTTTTTTAGCCCATCCTGATGCCACCTATTACTATGGTATCCGTCTCTCCTCTCCTTTGCCGCCCTTCAATAACAGAAACCTTTACCCTTATCCCCAGCTCCACCACCAACTCCCCGACTCTGTCTCCATCATCCTCACCCAGCAGCACAACTGCAGTCACCGTCTTATCGCTTTTACCTGTAATTCTGTAATGGTAGTGCTCTCCCGAACATCTGGATATGGGAATCTTTCACTCTTTCAGTACGTCATCCGTAGCAATTAATCCCAAAGGCTTAATTTGAAAAGAGTAGAAACACAATTATTATACAGTACTCTCTCTATATATATAAGGCTTTGCAATCTACATATTTGTATTTATATTTCTTCCAAACTGAGCCTATTGATTTTTATTCGACGTATGGCACTGACTTGGTTTAATCGAGCTTGATTTGAATGTTCTCGTTAGATCCGCAACGTGGATTGTTACCGGATTCTAATATATATATATATATATATATTTTGAACCCTGATGAGGCTATCGGATTCGAATATTGTTTTATGGAATGCGATGATGGCTGTATCCTGCAAAAATAAGGTTCTAAGTATCGGTAAGTATCGCATCGGTTTTGGTGACAAGTGATACTGATACACAATACACGGTGCAATACGTCATGCCATTTGAACATACACTATTTAGTCTATTTTAAAATCTTTTTTTATTAAAATTGCAATGCTGCAATTGATTGGACACTAAACCAAGTCGTTAAAATCTAAATGATAATAAGTTTTATTTAATTTCGACAATCTAGTGTTTACATATAACCCAAACAAATAATAATGTATTTATGCTTAACTAAAAAATAAAAGAAATAATTCTAAAAATTAGTATTTTATAAATGTTGGTGAAATGAATAATCAATCAAGTCTACATTTATATAAAAAATGATTTTTATTTTTAGAAGATTTATAAAAATAAGAAAACTTTTAAAAAATATTTTAGTAATTAAAATTTATAAATTTGCATATGGTATGTATCTTGAAAATTTTAATAGATCTTATGTATTTTGAAGTTATGATTATATATTTTTATAAATGATCAGGTAACATTTTAATTTACATTAAATAACAACATATTTATTATTTATATAAATAAAAATATTATTTGCAAAATTTTTGATAACTTAATATTAAGTTGAATCTATTAAATCCACTAGGCTACCCTTATGGGTTTAGCTAATTGACAAACTCTACCTTTACTCTTTACATATTGTCTTAAAGTACCCTTGCTGTTTCTTATAATTGACATCGTCGTCAAGTGCTAATGGAATGAAGCGAAATGCTAAATTTGACCTCACTATTCCTCAAATTTTCAAAATAAAACCCAATTGGTAAAAAAATTGCCCTCCACTATTCCTCAAATTTTCAAAATAAAACCCAACTGATAAAAAATTTGCCCTCCCCTCTTCCCTTCCATCTTCCTTTCCCACTGTTTGAACCAGCCTTCACCCAGGGTTTTGGTCTTTGACATCTTCTGATTACATATATACAGATGAAGCCACCATGCCTTTGTATATGCGTTGCAGCTCCTCAGCCAAAGACAACAAAGGAGGACATGGGATGGGGGTTTAGTCACTTTGCTCCACAACTACTACTATTCGTGGGTGGAAGTGGGTCATTCTCTTCCGGTCCTCCCTCCAACATAATGCGATAAAATTGGACAATCATTTAATTTATGGGTCATTGGAATGGGCTAGCTTGTTGGCTGGTTTAGCTATTAGCTTTGTCATCTCATCATAATCAGCCATCGTACGCCCACCCGTACCCCGATAGCCACAACCAGACCTGTTCATGGGTCGGGTAGTCTGATGACTCAGCCCAGCCCGGCCCGCATCCCGGCCGGGCTTGGTCATATAATTAGGCCCACAGGCCTGACCTCGGGCCTAACACAATAAGTTCGACTGTGTTTCGGGCCAAGCTTGGGATTTGTCAAAAAAGCCCGGCCCGGCCCGACTCAGTATTATATATTTTATAAAATATATAATATATAATATGTATTTTATATATTATATAAAATATATAAATAATATAATATTTATTAAAATATATATTTATAATTATATATATATATTATTCTTTTCTTTATAATTTCAATCTCTCTCTCTCTATTTAGTCGCTTCAACATTAATAATAGTAATAGTATAGGCTAAATTTCGGGCCCGGGCCTAGGCTCGGGCTTCGGGCTTTTTATGAGGGTCGGGCTCGGCCCAAGTTGTAGGCCCGATGGTCGGGCCGGGTTCAGCTCGGACCTTAGAAAAATTTGTTAATACACAGTAAAAGCCCGGCCCATGAACAGGTCTAACCACTACACACTATTTCATTTAGTAGAAAAAAGGAGCCCATGTTTCCTACTCACTTTTCCTACCCGCTCTCTGCCCGCAGTGAATTGGAGTCACACATCTCTCAATTCATAATAGAGATGTGTGGCTTCAATTCACGGCAGGTAGAGAGTGGGTAGGAAATCCCGAGTGAAGAAAAAGAGTGTCGAGGGTTTGGTCGTTTCCTTGCTCTTCTAATCATGGTTGATTCAACTTCAAGCTTCCCTTCCCTTCCCTTCCTTTTCTTTTTTTTTTTTTTTTTTTAATTTTCTCTTTTTTAGCCCTTCACCAACGTACATAACCAATGAACCAAGCATTGATAAATCCAATCTGGGTCTCTTCTGTTATTAGCTAAATATGTTGCTAGCTTCAATAATACCTGATGTTTTTGCTCTCCCAAAAGATGTGTCCTACTACGACAACATGATGAGGAAGGGCAAGTACTGCATTGGCCCGAGGGGATACAAGGTGGCAAGCCCCAGAGTTGTCGAGGCACTCTATGTAAACTGTGTTTCTGTGTTGACTTCAGACCCTAAAGCCCAAAAATGGTGGCCTCACTTACTCTCGCGGAACTCACCTCACTCGTCTTTCCATCCAACAGGTCATCACCAATGCGGTTAAATCCACACCCTTCCCTGTCGATCACAAGACCGGAATCTACTTGACCCTGACGTCCAACGATGTTACCGTTCAGGACTTCTGCGTGGCGGTATGTGGGTTTCACTACTTCATGTTCCTGTCCATGGTGGGGTATTCACTACCCTACGCTTGGGTGGGTATGGAAACGACGAGAGGATAGAGAGGAATCAGAAGAAGGGGTTCTTGTCATTGTCGCTTTGTTCTTCGTCTCAAGGTTGAAAATGATGAATAGTTCACATGAAGGGTATTTTAGGAATTTTAAAAATTACCAGTCATGTAATGTTACATATGAACGGAGTGTGACAGAAGTTAATGACAATGGAGGTTTTAGACAATTATCAGAAACATTAGGAGTATGACAGAAGTTAACGGCAATGGAGGTTTTAGAGAATTATCAGAAGTAGTAGGAGTGCTTTAAGATAATATGTAAACAATAAGGGTAGAATTAATCAATTAGCTAAGGGTTTAAGAACTCGCCATAACAACGACGACAATGATGATGATGATGATGATGATGATGATAATAATAATAATAATAATAATAATAGTTTTATTATTTTAGTAATTAAGATTTATGAGTTTGCATATGATATGCAGCTTAGAAATTTTAGTTGGTATGGTATAATTTTAAATTAATTATATATTTTTATAAATGATTAATTAATATTTTATTTTACATTAAATAACAATGTATTTATTATTTACTAAAATGAAAACATTATTTAAAAAAATGTGAAATTTTAATATCAAGTTGATATTAAAAGAAAAAAATAAAATAGAAAATAATTTATTTGATAATTAAAATATAATAATTGAATATAGTTTGTGTCTTGAACTTAAAACACATAATAACATAATAATGGCTCCACATATAAGTATATAACGATTTGTAAAAGTATATATAAAGTATATTGGACTTTTAATTAATACATATATGATACCTCGTATACTCATACAGAAAATCCGAATCTGTTTTCTACTACTCACACCAATCTGAGCCATTGAAACCGATGATCCATCACTCCACAGGCGTCGTTGGAGAGCCCACGAAAACACTAAAATCGAAACCTAGTGTGTGGTCCGTCTGATTTTATGCATTGTTTGACCCAGACCTGTGGGGGGTGGGGCCATAATTAACAGTCAGGAGGCCCATCTAAAGGTGGGCCCGGTCCTAGAATCAGGGTATTAGTGTCAGGTGGTGGCCACTCTCTGACCCACGTTGATGGCTATATTTGGGATTTGGGTAGACGATTCAAACTTCAGTTACGGTACGGTTCCATGTTGTCCAGCATAACTGCTCCTCCTTCACCTTCGTCGAGCTCACAAGCGGCGGCAAGAAATGGCAGCTTCAGCATTCAAGGTCTCTTCCTCCTCTTATGAATCAACCAACACCCTAACAGGTAATAAATTGATTCTCTCTTCGCTTCTTCTGATCTTCTGCTGTGTGTTCTTTTTTTTTTTTTTTCAAAGGTTTCTCTGCTTTACGTTAGCCTTCTACACCTTGGATTCGTATGAAATGGGCGCAAATTTTTAAGGTTTTCTCCCGACATTGTCCGTTTTCTGTTTTTATTCCATTTTTTTATTGCATTTGTTTGGTTCTTCCTTGTATTGTATGTTCATTGATGATGGCAATGGAAATTTTCGGTTTTAATTTTTCCCCACGTATGATTACAGTTAGGATGTTTAGCGTTTGAAACCGGGCTGAAGAGCAAGGAATTTCTGATCAAGTCAGCTTGTTTGTGAATTGGGATCAGTAGAAATGGCATGGTTCAGAGCTGTTTCTAGTGCAGCGAAGTTAGCTGCTGTTAGGAGAAATCTGGTTCGAGCGAGGTCTTATGCGAAGAGGGCACTGTTGCTTCCATTACAGAACCGATATTTTCACTCTACGTTCTATAAATCGAAGGCGCAAGGTGCGCCAGTTCCTCGGCCGGTGCCCCTCTCGAGGTTGACCGATAGCTTCCTTGATGGCACGAGTAGCGTCTACATAGAAGAGCTGCAGAGGGCTTGGGAGGCTGATCCCGATAGCGTGGATGAGTCATGGGACAGTTTCTTTAGAAACTTTGTTGGACAGGCCGCCACATCGCCTGGAATCTCAGGCCAAACGATTCAGGAGAGTATGCGCTTGTTGAAGCTCGTTAGAGCTTACCAGGTTAATGGCCACAACAAAGCTCAGTTGGATCCTTTGGAGTTGGAGGAACGTGAAATTCCAGATGATTTGGACCCTGCTTTTTATGGGTTCACGGAAGCTGATCTTGATAGGGAATTCTTCCTTGGGGTGTGGAGTATGGCTGGTTTCTTGTCTGAAAATCGTCCTGTACAAACTCTGCGAACCATACTAATGCGACTTGAACAGGCTTACTGTGGGAGCATTGGCTATGAGTACATGCATATTCCTGATCGTGAAAAGTGTAATTGGTTGAGAGACAAGATTGAGACACCGACCCCAAGGCAATACAACCAGCAGCGCCGAGTAGTAATTCTTGATAGGCTCATATGGGGCACTCATTTTGAGAACTTCTTGGCCACAAAGTGGACAGCTGCAAAGAGATTTGGCCTTGAAGGTGGAGAAACTTTGATTCCTGGTATGAAAGAGATGTTTGATCGAGCAGCCGATCTTGGGGTTGAGACCATTGTCATCGGAATGTCACATAGAGGAAGATTGAATGTACTGGGAAACGTGGTTCGGAAGCCACTTGCTCAGATTTTCAGTGAGTTCAGTGGTGGTACCAAGCCAGTTGATGAAATTGGTCTATACACAGGAACTGGTGATGTCAAGTACCACTTGGGTACTTCTTATGATCGAGCAACCAGGGGCGGGAAGAGAATTCACCTGTCTTTGGTTGCTAATCCCAGTCATTTGGAAGCTGTAGATCCAGTTGTGGTGGGGAAAACTCGTGGGAAACAATATTACTCTAATGATGTAGAAAGGACAAAGAATCTTGGGGTGTTAATCCATGGAGATGGAAGCTTTGCAGGGCAGGGTGTTGTTTATGAGACTCTGCATCTTAGTGCTCTTCCAAATTACAAAACTGGTGGGACCATCCACATTGTGGTGAACAACCAAGTGGCTTTCACAACTGATCCAAGATCTGGTAGATCTTCAAAATATTGCACCGATGTGGCTAAAGCCTTGAATGCCCCTATTTTCCATGTAAATGGCGATGATGTGGAAGCAGTTGTTCATGCTTGTGAGCTTGCAGCAGAGTGGCGCCAGAAATTCCACTCTGATGTGGTAGTTGATATAATATGCTACCGTCGATTTGGACATAATGAGATTGACGAACCTTCTTTTACGCAACCTAAAATGTATAAAGTAAGAGCTTCCAGCCTTTCTGTGTATTTTTTTTACACTTATTTTGTTTGAAGTTGAAGGTATTTCTTTTCCCATCTATCGTTTCCTTTCAACTCCTCGTAAGTTATAATTTTTCTTTATTTTTGTTGTGATTGTGTGGTTGCATTCTCTTTATGTGGGGAGCCAAGGCTGTCATCCTTAAACTAAAACCTCTGGAGTCTGGATTAAGACTTTCACCGTTGGAGATTGATAAGACATATTTAGGTTCCAAGAATGAGATTGTATCCCCTACAAAATGAGACTGAAGATTCTGTGCAATGATGTTGATACATTAGACATATGATCCTTGGTGTGAAACAAAAATCCCTTACTAAAAATTCAGAGTATCAAATCACTTTATCCTTTGAAAGACGGCTTTCATTGTTCGTTTAAGGACACCACCACCCTCAGGTTTATTTTTGCCAGCTAGGGGAGGATGGTATCCATTCCTGGTGTCTGCATAATTTGGAACTTCATTCTGTTGTTTACATTTCCCACTGAAAAGTATTTGTACAAACAATTTCAGAGTGCTGATGCATTTGGGCACTAACAGGTCATTCGAAACCATCCATCTGCTTTAGAGATTTACCAGAAGAAACTCCTAGAGTCTGGGCAAATCAATCAAGAAGACGTTAACAGGATACACAACAAGGTTAATTCCATTCTTAATGAAGAATTTGTGAGCAGCAAAGATTACGTCCCCAAAAGAAGGGATTGGCTTTCAGCTTATTGGTCCGGGTTTAAATCACCTGAACAGCTTTCACGTGTCCGAAACACTGGGTATGTTTGGTTATATTTTATGTTTTTCTCTTGTTTTCTACATGAATATAAATTTTGAAATTGTTTTATTGATGGTTTCACAGGGTTAAACCTGAGATATTGAAGAATGTTGGCAAGGCAATCTGTACTATTCCTGAAAATTTCAAGGCTCACAGAGCTGTAAAGAAGATTTTTGAGCAGCGTGCTCAGATGATTGAAACAGGGGAAGGTATTGACTGGGCACTTGGGGAAGCACTTGCTTTTGCTACATTGCTGGTTGAAGGTAACCATGTTAGGTTGAGCGGTCAGGATGTTGAAAGAGGCACATTTAGTCATCGACATGCAATAATTCATGATCAAGAAAATTGGGAGAAGTACTGCCCTTTGGGCCATGTTCTAATTAATCAAAATGAGGAGATGTTTACTGTCAGCAACAGGTGACATTCAGCAATCTCCCTGTTTGTGACATTCTGTCTGCAACTTTTTTGTTATCTTTCACCAGATCTGTAGTTCATTGTTTATCAATTTCCTTTATTTTCCTGGTTCAATACTAAATTCATCTCTACATTGATGGAGAATATGATAGTAAATTTCTAGACTTGAAAGCCCTATTTCTAAGACATCACTAAACTAGAAAATAAATTTTTAAAAACCTCAAAAAATACCAATAGCCCAATCACCCAAAAAATCTGAAATTAGTTTAGGAATTAGGAAACTGATTTATTTCTTTTTAGGTTTTTTCTTTGCTTCCTTCTGCATTAGGTGGTCCCCCCCCCATGGATACTTTAACTTCAGTAGGGATTTATAAAGGAATATTGTATTAGGGACACAGTGAAGAGTCTAGCATGGCTAACAGTTAAAAATGTGTTTTTAGTTGGCATGAGCATCTATTTTACATAAAAACAGATTTCCTGGAGATGAATCAGTGGATATAACTCGTTTGGTTGGACATTTTGAGGGCGAGGTAAGTAGCAGAGACTTGGCTAGGGAGTCATGGTGACCAGTTTCAGGAGTCAAATGGTAAGTAACTAATTCATGAATTATTTTTGTTCATCCTCCAGACCAGCGGTGATGTGGAATATTTGTTGAAGAAGGGACCATGGGAAATGGGGGAAAACTTAGCTATGGTTGGGCAATTGGAGTGCCATGGAGTTCCTCTAACTAGCAGAAAACTTGTCACAAAGCTAGGAAGTTATTAAAATTTATGGATTGTTGTTGATTGGTGCCTGGAAATTATACAGGCCATTAGGGATTTCCACAGGGGGTTCATCTGTACTGATTACATTATCAAAGTAACTGTCACCAACAAAAAAGACAAAAATAAACAGCTAAGAAAACAAAAGAGACAAAATAATCCTACAGGAATCAGGGCTGCAACTTGGGTGGGCTTGGTTTGAGCATTGCTAATATTTGAATGGGTCCTACCCCAGGGACCAGGCCGGCTGCTGTGTAAATTCAAGTCAGCAGTTATGTACCCAACTTGCATTCCTAAGAGGAATGTGCCCCGAGACAAATTTTTACTCCTAGCCTTACTATTACTAAGACTGACTTTTATTGAATTAGCAGACCTCAGAGTCCATCTAGACAAGATGTTCACGTTGAAATCCAAGGCTCTAGAATCCTTTATAAGAATAACCTAGAAACATCTGAACCATCATCCATCCATCCAATAACCATCTAATAACTTCCATCCACCTTAACTTGCACCAACAGATAGAATGCACATCAGTCTGAGGCTATGTTACTTGTACACAGCAAGACACAGCATGGACAAACAGATAGACATGAAATTTACACTAAATTGAACTCTCCAAAATGGACACATTTACCCATTTTAAAGTGTCTCTGTAAAATAAGGACCAAGCTCTAATGTAACTCTATAGTCTCAGCTCCAACGGAATCTTTTTAACTAGAGTAATCTCATAATTAGGAGGTTTCCAATTATGAAAAGCTGATATACCATGCTGTTCTTTTCATAATTAATAAAATCTTCATGGATCTATTAATGATAAAAAAAATCATATGATGCCTAAAGAATCCAATTCCATGTGGCCCAAGATTCTTGAGCATTGTTCTCAAGGTGAACGTCTAGGCAACAACAAGGTGCCCATGGAGACTCACCTCACTTAAGCACCTAGCTATTTTGTACTAGCACTATGAAAAATTTTTACATATATTTTTTTGGAGATTATAATAATAATAAAATGGATATTATTAAACGAAATTATTCATTTTGTGGATTTATATTAGTTTCTTTTTGTTATTTTCTTATTTGTTAGGATTCAATCAACACACATGTTGGTGTTTGCGTTCTCAAACGATTGAGCCCTCAAAGACTTCAGAACCTAAAACAATAAGCAAGGAAGAACTTAAAATCTTGTCAAATCAACACATTCTTCTTTTCCAAGGACAAAAACAAGGGCTCAACCCCTATGTTTTCTGACTTATTTTATTCTTATGAATATGTTGAAGAAGAGACACATCAAAAAAAAGTAGAAGAGATGAAAAATATGAGAGCCAAAAAAATTATATTTTTGCGGTGCCAGCTTTTTTTATTTAAATAGTAGGACGACCAAAACATAATAAAAAGAAAGGGAAAAGACAAGAATGCCCCTCTGCGGCATATAGTACATATTACATCACTCCCCCTCAAGTTGGGGCATAGATGTCAATCATCTCCAACTTGTCACAAAGATTATAATGCCGTAGTGAGCATAGTAAGGACATCTGCAAGCTGTTAATTAGAGCTAATGTAGGAGGTGCACACTTGCTCCTTCTCAAATTTCTCTCTAATGAAATGCTTGTCAACCTCAATATGCTTGGTTCTATCATGGAGAACTGGGTTGGCTGCAATGTTAATGGTAGCTTTGTTGTCACAATAGAGTGATATAGGATCATCAAAAGGAAATCCTAATTCACTCAATAGGTTCTTGATCCACAGTAACTTTGCAACTCCATGTGACATAGCCCTGTATTCTGCCTCTGCACTTGACCTGGCCACCACACTCTGTTTTTTGCTTCTCCAAGTCACAAGGTTTCCACCAATAAAGGCACAATATCTACTAGTGGATTTTCTGTCATCCATTGAGCCTCCCAATCTGCATCTGTGTACACCTCTACTCTCATGTGCCCATGTTTCTTAAAGAGTAAACCTATTCTTGGGAACTTCTTCAAGTACCTAAGAACTCTGTTTGCTGCCTCTAGGTGTGCCTCCTTGGGTGCATGCATGAACTAGCTGAGGACACACAACATATGCAATGTCAGGCCTGGTCATGGATAGGTAGAGAAGCTTGCCCACAAGTCTTTGGTACTGCCTTAGATCTTTCAAGGGCTCACCACTACAATCCCCAAGTTTATGATTTACATCTATAGGTGTGTCAGCAGGTTTAGCTCCTAGCTTCCCTGTATCCTTTAGGAGATCTAGGGTGTATTTCCTTTGGGAAATGAAGATGCCTTGTTGAGAGTGAGCAACTTCAACACCAAGGAAGTAGCGCAAGTGCCCCAGATCCTTTACTTCAAATTGTGTAGTGAGGAATTTCTTTAATCTCTAAATCTCTGAGACCCAGTCTCTAATGATGACAATATCATCTATATAGACAATCAAGGCTGTTGTTTTTTCTTGTTCCCTCTTTACAAAAAGTGTGTGATTAGATTGGCACTGCTTAAAATCCATTTGTTGAACTGCTTGGTGAAACCTGCTAAACCAAGCACTTGGAGATTGCTTTAGACAATATAAAAATTTATTCAATTCGTAGACCTTTTGTTCACTTCCCTTAGCACAAAAACCAAGGGGTTGAGTCATATACACTTCCTCTTCCAAATCACCATTCAGGAAAGCATTCTTTATGCCAAGTTGATGAAGCTCCCAATCAAGGTTTGCAGCTAAAGACAGAAGAACCCGAATAAAGTTCATTTTTGCAACCGAGGCAAAAGTCTAGGCATAATCAACTCCATGCACCTATGTGAAGCCTCTTGCAACTAGACGAGCCTTGTACCTTTCCACAGATCCATCTGCATTATGTTTTATAGAGAACACCCATTTGCACCCTATAGGCTCTTTTCCCTTCAGAAGATCTACTAGCTCCCATGTGCCATTCTTGTGAAGAGCATTGACATCTTCTGTCATTACATCTATCCACTTAGGAACAAGTAAGGCCTTCGCAACACTCTTGGGAAGGGGAACACTATCAATGGCAGATAGAAAAGCACGGAAAGAAGATGAGACATTCTCATAGGACAAGAAGTGAGATATGAGGTGGTGTGTGGTGCATGATCTGACACCCTTTCTTTTGGCAATAGGGAGGTTCAGATCACAACTTGAAGTGTCAATATCAATAGGTTTAGGAACATCAACTGGAACAATAGTACCTGGGTGATGTGAAGGATCCAATTCCTGAGATTTTGACGGCATTGGTGGCATAGTTTCCAGTGGCCCTGTGGTAATTGAACTTTGCTGCCCTTGATTTTTGTAGCGCAATCTCCAAAAGACATGAAATGGAGGTGGATCGGGAATAGAAGGCAACAAAACTTGAGTCTGATTCTGTTTCTCCTAAACTCTACTCTCCCCCTGAGGAGAAACAGGAAAGTAGGGGACATCTTCAAAGAAAGAGACATCCATAGAGACAAAGTATTTTTTAAACACTGGGTCAAAACAACGATAGCCTTTTTGAGCAAGGGGATAACTAAGAAAAATACACACAATAGCTTTGGGATTAAGCTTACCACGAGTAGGAGAGAGATCATGAACAAAACACTTACATCCAAAGACCCGCATAGGGATAGGAAACAGAGGAGCTTTAGGGAAGAGGAGATAATGAGGGGGACCTATATTCCAATACCTGAGATGGTGTTCTATTGATGACATAGGCAACAGTCAGGACAACATCCACCCAAAATCTTTTTTGGACATTCATCTATAACATTAATCCTCGAGCAACTTCAAGGAGATGTCAATTTTTTCTCTCTGCAACCCCATTTTGTTGTGGGGTTCTGGCACATGAGCTCCTGTGTTGAGAGCCGCAGGATGCAAAGAAATCTGTGAGGTCTCCATGGAAGTATTCCTTGGCATTATCTAATTGAAAGATTCGGATCTCGGATTGAAATTGGGTGTAAACCATACGCTAAAAGTCTTTCACACAATTGTTTACTCAATTGAAAAGTAAATTTTTATTTTTATTTCGTAAAGGGAATGAGGTTCTACAATGTTTACTCAATTGACACACTTGACACTGAAAATCACTAACAGACAAAGACTTAAACAAATATGGAAACAAAAACTTCAAAGACTCAAAAGACACATGAAGCTATAAGACTGACTTTGTTCTCTAGTACATAGAAACCATCCACCATGTTTCCTCTACCAATCGTCCTCTTGTTAGCCAAATCCTGAAAAACATAAGAATGTGGAAGAAAGGTTACTAAGCAATTCAAGGCATGAGTAATACTACTAATGGATAACAAATTAATAAATAACTTTGGAACATGTAGGACATTAGATAAGGAGAGGCCAAAAGGCAAAGATATAGATCCTTGACCAGCAATGGAGGAGAAGGATCCATTTGCTAGCCTCACTTTATCTCTGCCAGAGAGAAGAGAATATGTTTGAAACAAGGTTGACTTACCAGTCATGTGGTTGGATGCATCGGAATCAATAATCCATGGGGATTCCGAGTTATTAGTAAACACATGGAAAACTAAGGCAGAATTACCTGAAGAGGAGGCAAAAGAAGTAGGTGTGGATCCAAAATCAGCATTGCAGAGAGCCCTACCATATTGCTTTAAGTGGTCATAGAAGGAATTGATAATATCTTCCTTTGGGTCAGAACAAGGGAGACAACCTTGAGAAGTACTCTGATGTTCATGAGATGCTAAGTTAGCCGAAGTAAACTTATTCTGGTATGGCTTCTTGCTTGGTTCTTGTGTTGATTTCTTACCCAATTCCTGTGCCCATTTTGGTTTTCCATTCAATTCCCAACAGGTTTCACGGGTGTGCCTAGATTTTTTGTAATGACTACACAATTTGTCTTTTTTCTAATTTCCCCCTTTTCTTGGTGCCCCAGTGTTACCCCTTATAGCAAGAGCAGCCCAAAATCTGAACACAAATAGGTTCATACACGGGATTCAAACCCAGAAGGAAAGATAACACCCTTTGCTATGAAACTAACTTTTTATATGCTTTAGCATACTTTTCACTTTCCCAATCAATGTTCTAATAATAGTCTAGTTCTTTCCAAACTGAAGTGAGAGCAGAATAATAGGTCGTCGATAAGCTCCTTTCTCCCTGCTTACATGTCGAAGATTCTACTTGTAGCTGGTAAATTCTAACATAATGCCTCTGCTCTGAATAAGTTGCTTGCGCTTGGTCCCATATTTCTTTTGCTATCTCGGTACACATAAAATTCTATTTGACAAATGGTAACATGGATGTCAAAATCCAGGACATAATCATGCAATTTTCTTGGTCCCACTTATTGTATTTGGCAGTACCAACCCTAGGTTCCTTTATTTTCCCATTAATATATCTTGCCTTACCCCTAGTTGTGATATACAGCCACATCTCCTTAGACCATGCCAAGTAATTCCTACCATCCAACGGGGTAATAGTCTTTGGGAAATTCATGGAGTCATGACCACTACTCATTCCACTTTGGTTCATGGTGGGAAATTCAGGGAGTCATGACCACTACTCATTCCACTTTGGTTCATGGTAATTCATGGAGTCATGACCACTACTCATTCCACTTTGGTTCATGGT